CTGCATTTCGCGTAAATATGCATGCCGCGCTGCAAAACGATCGAGTTGCCGCTTGCGCATGCGGTAATATGCAATAACTTTATGACGAGCGAAAAAAAGAGGAGCGTATTAAAGCTTTATTAACGTTTTATGTATTCAATACACGTCGCGAGATCTGTGCCGTTAAGCGCTAATGATATACATTAAAGACTGAATATTTATAAATACACAAACGGGGAATTAACGTCCTTAATGTCTGTTCGTTTACGAACGATTACATTATACCGACTAAAATCGTGTTCTATTCTATTTTTTGTAACTCAATTAATTAAAAAGTAATCGGATAGTATTGTTGTAATTAGTTCTGGATCGATTGATATTTTGCCTGTTGATATTTATCGATAATAATTACGCATGAACGAATGAATTATATAAATTTAGAACAGAAAAGATGGCGACGTCGAGATTTACAATTAAATGTACGTAACTTTTTACGCCAGCTGTTGAAGTCGTATATCTAAGAATATCAAAAAATAGGTAAAAATAAAAAAAGGAATTTTATAAATTAAAAAAGATAATAACTTCAATAAATAAATCAAAAAGAAATTTGGATATTGATTTTAAAAAACTTTTAATTTTAAGCCGATTAAATTTTTTTCTGAATAGTGACAGCTTTCTTGATCTTCTGATAATCTTTTGCTTTTAAAGAGAAGGAGAGCATGTTTGAGATGAAAGATGCTGCGTATCTTAAAAAATAGTCTAATAAATAATATATATATATAATTATCGTCTCTGGAAATTGCGACGGTTGATTCCGTGATTCGGTGTTCAGAATACATGAATATGTTTAACTGAGAGCTAACGAATGTTCGGTCTCGTCCGGCTCTCGACCAATTAACCGGGATTTCTCCGTTTGCGCTTTCCTGCCTCCGAAAATCTTTTTTGTTCTATTCCACGTACAGATCTTCCTGGAATAAAAGGCAAGAAGCTAATCGCCGCACTCCCGGGAAAGCGACGACCGTGTCTCCGCGACGTTTCACAAGTTCTGCGGTTTAAAATTAAGCTCGAGCAGAACGAGAAGGCCCATGGCGAAAACGTATGTACATTCATTACAACCAGCGAACCCACTCATGCATTAATTCATAAAATATTTTGCACTACGGGACGAATATCTGATTACATGACTCATAGTGACCTGCGATTAGAATAGCGATAATCGCGTGTTATTCCGATACAAAGGCTGCACCGCGAGGAAACGTAACGAGAAAATCGCGAGAAAGATTTCGTATCTCTGAATAGCGTATCGCACACGTGGTTTTAATTAGAGATATTAAACACTGTGTTTATGAACATTATAATTGAATGCTTAATAATTTCAAATTATTTGAAAGCTGTAATATCTAATTATACTGCAATTCGGAAAATCGATAGCAATATTTTTCAGGTGTCTAATGATATCAATAGTAAAATTATAGTCATTTAACATGTGATTTTCAGTATTTAGTTTAAAAAAAAAAAGTAGATTTGACAAGTACACTTACATACTAATTATTCATATGCATTAACACTCAGCTGTTTACATGAAATGTAAATAATGTAGCATAACTGTACATAATATAGAAAGCAATCGATGCATATAATTGGCAAAAATTATAAGAAGAGATAAGAGGATTCGACATGGAAAAAAATGTAAAATATGGGCTAGACTTCTAAATAAATTTTATTAAATTGGCAGGCCCACTTATGTAAAATTTACTTTACTTTTCTGATAAATGAGCGACCATCGTAATCATACTGTAAAATACTTTTTACATTTCGTAAAGTAAATCTAATAATAAATTACCATTAATTATAAATATAATTTATAGAATATTTTTTATTTTAACGTTGACAAAATTTACTTTACTACTCGGTGAAAAATACAAGTGTGTAAAATCTTGAAATTCTTGTTATTTGTGCTTACAGTCTTGAAAATAGTATATCATTTACTTTATTTTTTGAATTTAATTTATCATAATTATAATATACATTTTACGTCTGATATTTTTTGCAGACAAGTAAAATTTATTATGAGTTCGGCAAAAATACCTAGAATACTTTTACTAGTCTTGTAAGGTAAAAATTACTCAAACATTTTTCTCCATGGAGAAAAATGGCTTTCTTCAGAACAAAAGAAATTAAAAATCGTAATTAAAAATACGATACAATTTCAAAGAAGTAAAATTGCATTATTCTAGACAATCATGTGCAGTAATCAACGTTAGAGCCAACGTTAATTTACTTCTGGCGAATTTTGGCATTGAGTCATTTATTGATACATTTACGC